TCCAATGATGAGATGCACTGGCTTCAACAGTCTGATGTGGAGGTTTGGTCACTCTCATCTGATGAGGAGTCTCCTGATGAGTTATTAAGTGAGGACCATGGAGAGGGAATTGGAAAATTGGTTCTGCATGAAGATTTTGGGGGGGATTGTCCCAAATCTCATGGTGCAACTGAATCCTCCATCCCTGGAAGTCAGTGAGAGTGAAAATTTCCTTTTTCATGGTGTTATTGATTCATAAATTAATCTTTTACTCGTAAGCACATGCTATGGATTTTGAGATTGCCTGCTGTGCATAGAATATATTCTGTTTCATTGGCATGTTGTGTTCACATCACATTAATGGGTTTCAGTTCGTGATTTGATGGCAACTGCATCATGGGAGCTGGAGGACCTCACCCGTCTGATGTCCAGTAAGTAATTCCAATGCTTTATAAGCTTGGAGTCAAGTGAAATGGATTAACACTGTGCATCTTTGGTCACATGGTATCTTTTTGCACATTCAGAGCAAGGTTGGAGGCTGGATGAGAGAGACTTGATTCACAAGAAGCGGAAAAAGTATTCACGTTTCAAGTGCGTTCCTTCCCCTTTTTTTTTCTTGCTTAGCAGTGCATTTACCCTTATCTTCTAAAATACATGACAGGATTATGTATCATGCTAGATTCAGTGCAGTTGTGAGTTAGTGAGAGTTTTTGTTTCAAAGCATGTGCACACCAAATGTCATCATACACCTCTAGTATTAACAGAAATGCTCTAATGAGGATGGACTTCTGTCACATGAAGTCTTCTTTTCAAGTCATTTCATATCCTCCTGAAGGTTCATTGACACTCAGATTAATGCCCAAAGCACTCAAATGAAGACAAATTGATTTGCTGGTAGGGTTATGGCTTTTAAAGTTGGAAAGTGGCCTCTTATAATTCAGTTTAAGGTGTTTCTCCTTGAAGCTTTCTGTGTGAAAGGCTTGATGAACTGATTTAACAGGTTAGACACTTAGCTGAAATTTTCTATCCTTTGGCCTTCTCCAGGTTAATATTGGCATAATGAGCATCATTCTCTTGGAGCTTACCATCCAAATGATCTCCTACTACTGCTATGAGCTTTCCCTTGATGATCTAACTTCTGTCATTATGCTGGGCTTGAATGACACTTTCTTCTGTTTCTTTCAAGGAGAGAGCCATTCCTTTCTAGTCAAAGAACCCCCAGTATACAGCAATACATGAAGGGATAAGACAGAGCTGACCAAAAAAAGAATTTGAAGTAGACAGTCTGTAAGAGAAAACGTAAGTAGGGAAGGAATAGATCATGTTGGCCAAAATATGCCTTCAAGGGTTTGTACTGTTGAAGTCCAGTTTTGGATGTGGAACTAAGTTCTTCCTCTGTAGCTGTTTTCTTATGTGAATCCTTTTTATACAGGTACGGAGATGGCTTTTCTTTTTTTTTTTTTTTACTTAGAACCAAAAACTGGGTAAAGCCTTTCAGTGTTTGATGCTGTATCAACCTCCTAGACCTAATTTACATATGAACTGTAGAGACTGATAATGCATAGATGGCTGGACATTTCAAATTCTTGCAATAAATGTGCATTTCATTTATTTGACCATGTCAACTAAATTTTGGAAACTAGGTTGCTATCAATATGCAAAAAAGGGGATACTGAAGTCTGCACAGCTGAAACTAGTATTTAAGTCCCAGTTAATATTACCATGAAAAACTTGAGGCCCTGAGGTATATCAGCTTGATTCATTTGGTATTACAGTTATTTCCTTCGTCAATTTAGGTTGGTACTGGAACATGTGTTGCAGGTGTGGGAATTGCATGCAGACAGGCCATGTGATTGAAAAGTGCCCAGACCCACTGAAAGTGCCACGGTGTTACCTGTGTGGTGGGGAGTGGCACTCAAGCAAGATACCTTCCCACTGTCCCAATGTCATCTGTTTCAAGGTGAACATGCCTACTTCAGGTGGCTTATATTAGCCCCACTGCAAGAAGTGAACTTAATATTCTGCAGATCAACCTAAGCTATCAGCCTGTTCTCTCGGACTTGCTGGTGATCCCCAGAGACAAAAAATACATTTCCCCCATTTTTCTTTACTTTGCATGCATGAAATGGGAATCAAGCAGGAAGTTGCTTTGTTGCAACTTGCCCTGAGGACATAATTCCAATATTTTCCATTCAGCTGCCAAAGCTAAGATTATTCTGGTGAAAAATATGGCTTCCTGAGACCTTTAGCCCTTATTTGGACAAGATGTTTTAGTGACACAAACAGGCAGGGGAAAAATTCCTGAATTTTTCCATTTAAAGAAATGGAATTTAATGAATTTGTTTTTAGGTCTATGAATGGCCTTTAAAAGACATGTTAAATTTGTAGAAAAATTGCCAGAGTAAAGTAATGAATGTACCCTGGGGAACCCAATGGATTCCCCATCCCCAGATAATGATGAAAAATGCTGCTGAAAAGGAGATGTGAACATGGAATAAGTCACTTTGCTTATTGTCTTTGAAATTGCCTCATTTACCTTTTCCTTTACCAATGTGCAGTCTTATTCTCTGTAGTGTAGCTTACTTGACTCAAGACATTCCCAGGATTCACACCACCATGAAAAAAAACAATTACAAACCCTGGTGTCATACTGTATATCATTTTGCCTTCCTTAACTCTTTCAGTCCCAAAAAAATATATAGGTATTCCTTATTCAACCATTCACATTAAAATGTCATTGACCACAAAAGTGAAAATTCCAAGAGGCCACTGTGACTCAGAAGTCCCACCAGGCCAGGTCATGCATTCCTATAAATTCCTGCAAAATATATGAAAAAAAGCAGACTCTTGAGTCCTGTCTTGCCTGAAACAGTTAAAAAACTAAAGAACGCTACCAGCAGTTATGTTTTCTCCAGCTGTCTGCCTATTCCAGTTAGCTTATACAGGGTGATCATTTCATCAGTTAACCCTTAAAAGTGCTTATAGCAAATAAACTATGTGTGAAACTAGGTGACATAATAACATGCAAAGTGCTGCCATCTGTGCATGACCTACACACTACACTGCCATCTGGGGTATCTACAATACGCAAAGATGGTGTTCAGCTTGAAACAGCTCATGTTTCTTCTGGAAACTTGCATAAGAACTGGATTGTTCCAACAGGGACAGCATTTCCAACATTCTGCCAACGATGCTGTAGTCTGTCCAACAACATGGTTTGTTGTGCATTAAACAAAATGGTGGACACTTTCAATATTTCTTTTGACTGTTGATTGTCATTTTACACTTTGCAATGTTCAGGTTCTTATATCACCAAGTTTCACACATCTCTGACTTTTTGTTTATTTTTTTATTATAAGCATTTCCCAGGGTTAACTGATGAAAAAATGTATTATTAACCCTTTTGAGTATGAATAGTTCTAAAAATATGCCTTTTTGGCTTAATTTTATGGAGGTACTCTGCAGTAGTAGCTCCATATTTCACCCCTAGAAAGCAAATTGAAGAGGTTATATGCACTTGAGTTGACTTCATACACCAAAAGTTTTTAGTTATGTATATCATGGCTAAAAAACATCATAGTCAACAATAGTGGACACCATCTGTTAAGCTGCATTTTGGAACATCATGTAAAACTTTATTTTTCATTAAACACCCAATCTTCAGAATCATCTGTTTTTGGAATATTCAGCCATGGACTGAATTTGTGATAATGTTATTTCCTGTTTCATTAATTCAAAGTTTCATGGAGTCTGCTTTTCCCCACATATACTTGCAAATGCTAAGAAGAAACTCTGGTCTGTGAGACTTTCCTAAAATAGGAGCAAGGGTGATATACTAAGGAATTCTCCCACAAACTCTGTTTGTGGAAGAATTCCTTAGTTGACAGGAAAGTGTAGTATAATTTGATGTTTGGAAGTTTAAGAGAAGATAGGGATTTCACTGATATTTTGGATGACAAATGTGGATCATATAAACTCCTAAATGCTGAAACATTATTCAGGCTTGATAAAAGGACTAACAAGCTAAAGAGTTCTTTTTCTTGATAGGTGTCCATGGAACCTTCAAGGACCATGAACTATGGGAGATTTCTGCCTTTTGACCAGATCTTCAATTAGATTTGTAGAAAAAAGGCTTAAATGACTATTATGTGGAACTTGGTGCAGTTTTCATGAAAAAAAGAATGCTTTTTAGAGCACATCTTCATGCTTAAATCTTTCCCATCTGTTGACTCCTTCACATGAGAAATATGTGTTTTGGGTTTCACTACAGTGTGGTGATCCTGATCATCAAATGAGCCGATGCCCTTGGAATGCTTCACATGTTTTCTGCCACCTATGCAAATCACCTGGGCACCCATCTGAGGCATGCCCTGATTGGTGGAGGAGATTCCATCTCTCAGTAAGTTTTCAAACTTATCCAGGTTTTGGGGAATAGTTCATTGCAGAAAGTCCTATTCATTTTGCAGCTATGGATATAAACAGCACAACTATTACCTTTTTACTTTTACCATCTGTTGAGACATTGTGGTGGCTTCAGATCCTTCATCTTTGCTTAGAGCTATAGGTATTGGTCATTATCACTAAACCTACCTGTTTAATGGAATTCCATTGCTGACAAATGAGTATGAGTATTTAATGGAGACAGTAGACCACCTCTTTCCTTCATATGACCTTCTCTTCATTGTTAGGTAATTCAGTTAACTGTGTAGATGTTTTCCCCTGGTTCTCTTGAACTTGATGCATCTTCCTTTTTTTGCTTTACTTCATCATAATTGCTTTCTCATGAGAGACCATTTGTGGCCATGAAAGTGTAGCACTATATTAGACTAGCTTGCTGCAATTCTTCTGACAGTATCTAGTACCCGATGACATAATTTGCATTACATGAATGATGAGCTGACTTTGAAATGGACTGTTGAAGTTTTGCACAGAAATTGATGCTGAAACCATCTTTATCTTCACAGACAAACAGAAAAGAGATTAAGGTGCCATCAGACACTCAAGGAAGGAGGCAAGAGGAAATGTACTGCAGCAATTGTTCTCGTCGGGGCCATGCTTATTATGAATGTCGCTTCCCACTGGAGTCGAGGCATGATGCTCACTACCCCTTCCCAATCAGTTATGATGATCCTGTCTCTGACTTCCACCACCTGGGTATTGAGATTCCTCGTGCGATCAATCAAGAACCCCTGCATGGAAGAAATGCAAAGTGTGTCCAATCTGTAGTTAACATTAATTCATGGGAGGTGGGCAAAGTCATTGGTAGGGCAGGGACAACAATAAGAAAAATTGCTGCCTTGTCAGGAGCCCGTGTTTGGGTGAAACAGAAGGATGGGATAGCCAAGGTAAATATCTCTGGAAAAGCAGATGCAGTGGAAGCAGCAGAGAAGGTCATTACGGCCCTCTTGGGACACAAGAAAGGTGGAGAGGAACCAAGATCAGACTTAGAGGAATTGGATGATGATGCCTTTTCACCTGTCACATTCTCTGGGAACAACAGGAAGGGTGACCTCACAGTACCTGACATAGCAGCCAGCCCAATCCCTAGTGAAAGTGTAGCAGTGGGAGAAATCGAGGACAAGGGTACCAAGAAAGCTGGTGGGAGGAAGAGAAAGCGGGAGGTTCAAGCTGAAGGTGATGATCGTAATCAAGATTTTCGATTACTTGTGCATATCAAGGCAAACAGAGAAGAATCAGAGCATCAATTCAAAGTCAATGATGGTGGTGATGGAACTGTCCAATTGCCAGAAAATCCCAAGAAGAGGAAGGAAGAGTTTCTGAATTTGGATCTGGCAGAACAAGACATAAACTATGATCTGCAACCACCAAATCTTCACAGCCAGAAGAGGCAGAGAGATTATTCACCCAATATTCAAGTGCAGCCAGCAAATGCTGGTAACAACACAATATTGCCAGCATCTCAGTTGACAACCGACACTTTTCAGGCCAACATAACAGACAGAGTGGGTCTGATCAGATCAATTGCTAAAAAATTAGGCATAGGCTTGGAAACGTCCCATGTGAAAATGATCGAAGATGTGGTTGCTGCTCTCCCGATGACTGCCAAGGCCTTAGCAGTGCATATTCAAGGCCATCTTGAGTCATTGAAGCAACCCGTCTCATGGAATTGGCTACGCATTCGGAAGTATGCCGCAAAGCCAAAGTTAACCCAGCTGAAATGCATATCCAAGCGAGAAAATGTGATTGCGTTGATCAATCGCACCACCTTTGGCATGATGGATTTTTGTAAAGTACGTTCAGCATTGGAGAAATGCCATAAACTTCTGGTTAAAACAAAAGGTGCAGCTCCAGATGATGTACGGGTGAATGTTGCCGTGCTTCAAGGACTCATCTTCAGTAATTTTGCCTCTGATTTCATCCCTCGTCGGCTCCGCAAGATGGATCCATCTTTGCAGCTGCTGCCATGCTGCAATCCTTGTGAGGAATTTTATATTCAGAATCAAACAAACTTCAGCGACAACTTTTTCAGGAAGTACCGTCAAAATATGACCAAGGCCAAGATTCATGGGTCCAAAGTCATGGCTGCACTCGATGCCGATCGGGATCCATTCAAAGTGGAATACGTGAGCCGCATGGAGGAGATTCGAGACCGCATGATCTCTCTTGGACTTCACCTCCAATCCCAATTCATCCCCTACACTGACTGGGAAAGTGACATGAAGTTGGTCAATTGGGTCACTCTCGGGCTCTTGGACATGGATGGAGATGTGTTTGTTCTCAAACGTTCGCTTCGTTCAAAGGCGAAGAAGAAGAAGAAGAACAGCTGCAACCAGAGGGTAATCAGAACCATGGGTATCGTCCTAGGACGCATCTCAAATCATGAATACACTATTGAAGCGTATAATAGAGTCTGTGCATACCTCTGTGAGGTGGCTGAAGCCCAGAATGTGAACTCCATCCAGTGTCAAGTGCCTCAAAGTAAACCAGATACATCCAGGATGCATGCCAAGTCATTGACCCAAAAAGGCGCAGCGGCAGAGGGCAATGATTCAAAATATGAGAAGAAACATTCTGGAGACTTTCCACGTGGTGTGGTGAAGAAAATATCAAGAGATTGTACATTCATCACCGGCAATGAAAACGCTTCTGGCAGTACAACGAAATCTGATGGGCAGCCTTTGCCTAAGAAGTTGAAGACCATCAAAGATCCTTGGTTTACGCTCCACCGGAAGATTGCTGCCCCCATTTACAAGGTGCACCATGCTTCAACTGGGTCTGCACTTGCACTGGAAATCAGAGTCTTTCTTCAGCTCCTTGAGTCAGGAATGAATCTAAATGATTTATCTCGCTTGCTGGCCATTGATCGTCGGTTGGCCAGCCTTTTGCCTCGTCGTGAGGCTATGTCTAAACTGGTGAAAGCCGACAAGACATTGCAGAGCGACATTGCCTTGATCAACAGGATATCGTATGGCGTGTTGGATCTTCAAGGTGATCGAAGCCAACTGGACCGCTTGCAGAAGAAACTTGATGAGGTTGAAGGTCCAATTAGATCTGATGACCTGGTCCAGTTCACCATTAGCATGGCTCGCATCAGTGATGGCCGGCACTATGAGGACCTTTCTGAGCGGCTGAATCACTGCATAAATGTCATCAGGAGCACAGTCATCCCCGAGAAGTTTGCTACTGATGGGAGCTTACGGCTGAACCTCCCAGACCTCTTGACTTGCTCTCCCAACGAGTATCTCGAGTATGCAACAGTATCCGAGAAGACATTCTGGTCTCAGCATATAAGCTCCAAAGGCGCTTGGGCCAAGATTAGCGAGTTCTTTCAGCTCGGTTACATCATCCTCACGAAGCAACAGAAGACGTGCCTTGGAGTCATCCTCAAAGGCAAGAGATTGAACCTACAGGGGCGTATCTGGGCCGGAGCTGCTTTGTGTTCTATCATCGGAAAGGACAGATTCATCGAGTTCAAAAACTTTGTCAACGGAAAGGGCCAGGAGGCACGCGTGAAAGGTCGCAAACGGTAAATAAGAAGGTTTGTAGAAAGGGAAAACCCCCCCCCCCCCCATCAAGTTGTGGATCTACAGAAACCAAAGTATTTTTCTGTGTCTCTCTTGTCTTTGCTGCATGTGGGAGTTGGCGAATAGAGTGATAAATTATGAAGAAAAGAAATTGTTTTATTATTTATTCAGATATGCACTTTTGAATTGCATTCATTTCAAGTATTTCAAGTAAGGCACCATCCTTCGAAGACTCCTTTGGCCCCGAGACCGAGGAGGTGCATTTTGAGTAAAGCGCACTCTGGCGGCTTCAGGCCCACGAATCCAGTTTAGCGTCGGTGATGAAACCCTTTGATCTGAAGGGGCTTACGCTTTCCCAAGATCCTGTGCCTGTTCAAAGACATGGTGATGCTCGTGCAGAACGAGCCTGTAAATTTGCAATCAAAACGACACCCCGTTTTGCGAAAACTCATTGTTCTGGTTAAGGGAGCTGTGAGCCACTCATTAAGGAGTTTTTAATTGATTTCTCGAGCGCGTAAGAACTTAACCTAACCTTACCTGGTCCATGTCTAGGTTTCCGCCTTGATGTAAATACCATTGCAGAGTTTAATTTTCAGCCTCCAGTTATTAATGGTTGTACGGTTCGTGTAAAGTGGAAGATTATAATCCTTTTCCGCGCCACTGCATTATTGCCCTCTAAGAACTACAGGCTCAACCTATTTCAATGGTTGTAATTTTAGCCGCCGATGGAGAGTAATTCTTCAAATCCGTTCCCATGCATTAGGGCAGAGCCATCCACGAGAGATCCCTGGCATGTTTCACATCTCGTTTGCTCTCTTCGTTCGCAACCGCTTCAAATCAATCAAAGCACCATTGAAAACTTGGGATCGCACTGACCATTGTAACGCTTCCCCCGTTGCATACCGTTCAACACTGGTGTCACGTGCAAAAATCTCCATGTAGTTGCTGGCATTGACAGACCCTTCAGATTTTCTGTTAACACTTTCAGCCCTGTCAATTTGAAAGCGCCATTAGCGTATGACGTCATACGACGACTGCCGGACTCAAAGTATTAATGTGCACACCCCCATTTGCAGCCGTGGATTTCAGCGCACCTTTCGACCCGTTGAGGATTTTCCACGGTAGTGCTCGTGGAATTACAACTCTAATGAAATAGATTTTGGGTGAACGAGGTGAAGCAGAGAAATGGTGGTCATGTTGGTTCTCAAGTACTCGAATACTCAAGTACTTTCTAGCCGCCCATCGGTGTCCTCCTCATTCGGTTTCTGCTACAAGTTTGCTGTTTCTGCTCGTGCCTGCTTTCATATCAAATTGATGTCTTGCGACTTGACTTTTTTTTAAACGTTGGTGCGGCTTCATTCCACTTTTCGGTTCATTCTCGGCATATTCTTTGTTTTCAATAAACGATTCTTCCAGTATTTGCTGTATTCCTCCTGATTCCACCAGAAATGTGAGATGAGGTGCCTGAAGCTTTATAAACGTCCAGAAGCTTCTCTTCAGGTTCCTTTCAATTTTCTATAATAGAAAGTTTTATTTGATAGTTCTGGCGTAAATACAGAGGGGAATATGAACCATTGGGGGGGGGGGTGTCCGATGCTTATATCTGCCGCACCTTTCACCCGAAGGAAAGGGTGAAAGGTCTTCCTACTCAACTGCAGCAAAATGAATGGAATTTCGTGGTCCCACTTAACATCACTGAAGTCTCAGTGAAGGGCGAAGACTCAACATCAGCAGCAGAAAAGGAGGATATGCGTTACCCGACGTACGTAGAGGTGGTTGCTGTATGTGTTATTTATATTTATTTTCACCTGGTGGAGAAGTTAAAATATCTCTGGGTACCATTCACGAGCGATGGCAGGCAGAATGTGGATCTACACACGCGGATCGGTCAAGGAAACACCGTAATGCGTGAGCTAAGCCGGTCTGTGGTCATGAATGCAAAACTCTGTCTTCGAGTCTGTCTACACTCCTATCCTCGAGTATGGTCGTGAGTGTTAGGTAACGACCGAAAGAGTGCGATCGCGAATGCAAGGGGCCGACCTAGGACTAGGTGGCCAGAATCGACCCAGAAGAATTTGCCAAATCGAAGCCATTGGAAGGCTCTCCTGAGCCCGAAAGGAATTGAAGATGGATGGATTTTTACCTGCTTCGTTGCGAGAATGCAGAGAACGTTGGCAATATCCGAATTTTTTGTCTCGGCTTTTTGTCAAGATTTCCCCGGACATCATCACCTTGACCAAACCTTGGCTCGAGGAAGCAATTCACCCCTAACGTAACGTTACCTCCTGATTCAGTGCCGCGAAATTAGACTCGACTGTTGAGTTAAGACACGCCCATTGCAAAGGTATATCTTCAGATGTCCTTGCGTATCTTACGGATCGTTTTAATGCGTTCCCTCGTGTTCCAATGTTCCAGCTCTAACGACTTACCGTTACCTGACGGAAATCCCGGAAGCGAGCATTGCAAAATGCAAAATGGAACCTGAGCCAGTTCTCCCAGCGCTGGATACGATCGCGACGTTATCGTTATATCGCGATATCGTTGCTGCGCTATCGCTCAGCAATATCGTTGCTTGGGTGAGGCTGGCTTTCATCTGTTTCTCACCCCAGCGGTACCGAACCTTAAAGTTTTGCAAATACGTTCGCACTAATTGTCCCACCTCAAAACTGCATTTTTTGGTGAACAGCAGAAAACATTGCAAATGAAACTTAGTACATTTTTTTCCCCCATTCAGGTCGTCTCAGCACGTACCTAATGTTTTGCGTGCTTCGAAGATGTTTGGGCGAACGATAGGAAATAAAAATCGGAGATTGACGAACTCGGGGCACGGAACGGGGTCTTTTCTTGCGCTTCGTTTTTAGGGTTTACAATCTGCTCCACATATTAAAACACTTCTTACTTCAGGCTGTTTTTTTTTTATTTTAAACCCAAAGGGCGAAGAGTTCCAACCCTACTGTGAATTCCGCTCTCAACTGCACATAATTGAACTCATGAAGTGCGACTGCCTTTTTACGTTGTACCGGATTGAAAAATTTGATCCACCCTATTATTCTTTTATTACCTTTCGCTACCTTTTTTGGTTTATGACTTTGTTTCTGATACATTGAACCATCTCACACAGGTTCGGTGTCAAAACATGAACAGTGTTCGCATTTATATCACTAAAACAGAAACTGTAAAATACATAAATGTAAAATACATTCGTATTGCCTATTCCTCTACCACCGGAAGCGGTCTTGCAAATTCTTAATTTCTAAAAAATGCTATTTGCATTTTTTTCGCAGTCTCATATTTTCTTGTTAAATGTTTGTCCAATTTTCCTCCGCTTTTGTGCATTGGTATTTTTTATTATTTTTTTTTCCTGTGCATTTACGTTTTACCGGATTGAAAAATTTTTATCCGCCCTATTATTCCTTTATTACCACGCGCTTCCTTTTTTTTTGTTAATGACTTTGTTTCTGATACATTCCCCGGGTGTGAGGGAGAAGCCTTTTCAGCTTTTGGGAGTTCATACGATGCAATCGGGGTTGTTTCATTGTCGTCATGTGAAGCATTTTTCGTTTTCCGTCGTATTTTCCGGAGGACAGCGATACTCCTTTGATTATTGATCGGAGGGTGAAGATCGCTGTTTTGGCCTTTCCCCGTTCGTAGCAAAAAAAAAAAAAATTCGCGATAGTGATACATTGCACGAAAATTATGCATTTTCGTTTTTCTATTTCTTCGGTATTAGGTTCTTCTTATTTCGATTCATGAACGGAATTCGCTGTTCTAGAATGATAGTGTTTAACAGTAAAAATTCCTTCGGAGTGATACATTGAACGAAAGTAATGTATTTTCGTTTTCTTTCCAACGTTCACAAGAAAAATTCCGCCAGAGTGAGTTTGACGAAGAAGTTGACGGATCTCGGCGAGGAATCGTATCATCTCACTACGATTCAACGTCTCAGGCAGATTTACTTGGTTTTGAGAGTGTGCTTCAATTAGAAAGGATTCGAATTCGTGCCCACCTGCAGGTTATACATTCTTAAAACGTGTAAGAATCTCTGTTATTTCTCGTACGTCTGGGTGTGATTCGATATCGCAGGTTGATTCGCTCGGTTTCACGAACACCATGCAGTCAAGAAGATATTCGTTTGAATGTGAAACCACTTGCTGGTGATGCCACTTGTAAAAAGGATTTGTAAAAAAAATCTTCCCTATTTCTCATTCGTCTCCATACTATTCAACCTAACAGGCAAGTTTGATTGGGGCCAGCAAGACAACTCGGTAAGAAGAACAATATTCTAGTGATACCCAGGCGCAGGCGTTTCATTCCTAAAAAAAATGTGCCGTTTTCGTTTCTTTTACAGTTAAAGGTAGCATTTTTCAGACAGAAATTCGTTCAATGCAGTACTTTCATCTCGATGCGGTTCTTCTCCCGGATCTGTCGTATATGCTTCGGATTATGTTTCACTGCCGTTGATGATGCATCTGAGCTACATGAGCTCGGTTCCACCTGCATGCATATAAAAGCGATGATTTGGTTCAATTCCACGGGTTTTTTTAATTATCGGAGTTGTGCTCTTTCCGGATTTGTCGAATCTACCTTAAATTACTTTTTCTGTCGCTGATACTGCTTTTCTCGGCACGAAGCTGCCATCGAGCTAACGCAGCACATATGCCGCATCTGCGAGAGAAAATCGCAATTCCATTCAGATACGGCAGCTCTAGAAAAGCCATCAGTAAATATATACCATCGAACGAAATTCCTTCATTTTTTGGTGCGAAACTGCAATCGTAAAAATCCAGGACAGATGCAGTAACAATGGCGGGAAAAACCTAATTACAGGCCGATACTACTTGCACCATGCCGACAAAAAGGATCGCATCCTCCGAAATCCTCGACTTTCTTGGAATGAACCTAGTTTATCCTGCTGATGTGCAGCTTCGACAGCAGAAAAAAAAAAGGAATTCCGGGCTGATTCGTCAGATGTGAAAAAGTTACCCAACCAACGCAAAATATCACGTCGCATGAAAGTTTTGCTTTTCAAATTAAAAAAGTTGAACCTAGTTTGTTAAGATCAGACGCAAAATCAAGTGAAAAAAAAAGTTTTTCCAGACATATCGGGAAAAATCATCACACCTACAAAGACAATCGCATTGATGGAAATTTTTTCCTTTTTGGTGTATGAAGCTATATTCCTTTTTGGTGTATGAAGCTATATTCCTTTTTGGTGTATGAAGCTATATTCCTTTTTGGTGTATGAAGCTATATTCCTTTTTGGTGTATGAAGCTATATTCCTTTTTGGTGTATGAAGCTGTAATCGAGCTAATGCAACACAGATGCGGTATCAGCGACCGGAAAACGTAATTCCAGGTAGATTCCACAGATCTCAAAAAAAGCATCCCCACGACAAAAAGGATCACTACGATTTCCTGGCTTTTCAAGGCACGAAACTGGCGTCGGTCTTAAGCACCTCAGTATTCGCCTGTAAAAACACGGAATTCCGGAGATCTGGATTGAGCACCACGCCGACAAATTCGAAGCAGATTCGACGGATCGGGAAAATGCATCACTACGATAAAAAAAAAAGCAACTCTTCGACATAAATCATCGCTTCTCTGTGTGCGACGCCGAAACAGAGCTTAGGAAACTTAGATGCAGTATCAACGGCAGTAAAATATAATTCCAGAATTATAGGAATTATAAATATAATTCCTATAATTCCAGAATTATAGGAATTATAAATATAATTCCTAGAGAGATCTAGCTGAAGATGCGGAACGTTGGTCTCCCAATCTCCTTTCTCAAAACTCTCGCAAGTTAGCAAGGAATCCTCCGGTATTTTGTTCAGACTCCAAAAGCCACAATTCTTGAAGCACTTTTGGACAGTTTCACTTTGCTTACAGCATTCCAAGCTGCTTACAGCATTCCAAGCTGCTGAGAGTCCATGCACAGCGTCAATGACGCTGAGCTTCTTGGAGAAATCGCTGACTTCATCGCATTCATCCGTGCGTGAAATGAGGATTTTGAGCAAAACGATTTCGGTAACACTCTTAAGATCGTTCTCTCTCCGTGGAAACTGCGATGTGACCTTGACAGGCAAGAGACGGGCCAACACGGAAATAAATAGAGGAAGAAAATAAACCTGAGACCTTTTTTCCGGTCGGTTTTCTGGCCGGATTAAAGAGTATCCAGCACAGATAGGTCTGCAAATCCTTGTCCGCTGGCCGCGTTAGACAGGTGGCCGGATGAAACAGGTTATTTTAACGTTGAGCCTATGGAGCTAACGATTGGGACTGAGGACTTCTGGCCGCGAATCGGAGGTGGCCGAATCCACAGGTTTCCCTGTACCACTTTTTCCTTTGCAATCGCAATTTTTGAAGAAAAATTCTGCGTATCAGGAGTGTGGGAAAAAAATTTAGAAGCCCAGATTTTCAGAGTTTGTGGGCTGAAGCCAAATTTGAAGGGAGAGCTTCACGTCTGGTGCCCTCCCCGGCCTCACCACCCCGTATAGTGACTCCAGATTAAATTTGCGCACCTGTTGCATTTGGTCCAATCAGATGCGGCTGCAAGCAGTTCCCTCACGTGGGAGAGCATTGCAACATCGAAGTTTCATGGCGGCAGCCTTCGTGGTCGGGATCGGGCTCTCCTGAGCCTCGGCCGGCCGACGCGGGAGGAGGAAGCCGTAGGGGCGCTCGCCTTGGCCCGGGGCCTCGGGGGACATGCGAGTCTCACGTGGGTCGCATTGTGCGTTTCCAAGGTGTCAGAACAACAAGGGGAAGTGCCCGCAACTCTCGTTCTTCAGCTTTCCCAAGGATCCCGAAAGGTTCGTCGGCGAAGACCTAACGTTAGGCTCCCGAAGACGGTACGCTTCGTTAGGCTAGGCCTTCGGGTCGTCCTCGGACAGTGAATTGCTACCTCTTTACTGGAAAACCCTGAAGTATGCTTGCTTGCTCTTAGTTTGTCCACGGATTCTCACTCGAAAACTAATGTTCCCTTTGATCACTCATGAAATTATATGGGCATTCCTAGGGATGATTGCATATGGGATGATTCCCACACATTTCTTGTTTAGAAATGGATTGGTTTTACATCGTTTGGCAAGATAACATTTGCAAAAGTATCACTTAATCTGTTTAACCCTAAGAAGTTCTTGAAAAGGTTTGTATGGGAGTACCAAGTTAACTCTGAAATATTCTGAGTGAGGACAAAATGAAATTGTACTGCTTTTTTTCATTATCACAAATATCATATAGGCTACATTTTGGAAATGAAGATCATCATTTTGAAGCTGGTGGGTGATAGCAAATAGTTATGCTCCTGCAGCTGTGGAACTGTAATTTCCATAGTTATTTATGTGGTGTAACTAAGAAGTTTCATGGATGAATGTAATTTTTATTTCATGAGGAGAGTAGGCCTAAGGCCAGTCCTTGTGCCATTGTATGCATGATTGCCTTGAACCAGTTACCTATCAGGCTCTAGTGCTATGTTTTGCTTCTATTCAGGTTGAGAAAGTGGGCCCTTGCTGCTGAAAGGGAAGACCTACTGCTGAAAGATCCCTTGCATGTGCACAAGAACTGCACATTGTGTGCAATACACTTTGAGGATCGCATGTTCATGAACATCTATGAGAGGTGTGTTACTTATGACTGTACTGAGAAATCTAATTTACTTATATATAAGAGCCATGGTGCTTATAAAAAGCCATGAAATCATTCTGATTTGAAACAGGTTTTCATCCAAGTAATAATAAGGTTAGGTGTTAAAATATGAGCAGAAAACTCTAGTTTACAACTTGCTTTTTACCTGCCTAACTTATGTGGTATTCCTTCAGGAAGAGGCTGGTCCATACAGCGGTCCCTACTCTTTTCTTTGGGAAGCGGGAGATTCCAGGCAACGAAGTGTCCAGTATGTTCTCTAAGGAGCAGGAGATTCCAAGAAGTGGAGTCTCCCCTCTGCTCTTGGAGAAGGCAGAGATTTCAGCCAGTGAAGCTCCTGGATCCTGTTCATCATGGAGAGGTTTCTTTGTTTCTTATGTGGTCGTTCTGCTAAAGATGTGAGAGACTCTGAAGCAGTTCATATAACTTACTTCAGTTTAATATTGAGAAAAGTCTTTCACAAGCTATCTCAATGGGCAAAAGAAATTAGCATGGCCTAGGGCTTCATACTTTTGTTTGAGCCTTGTGTTTTGTTTTTCTGCCCCACTTCTTGCATTGAATCTAAGCAAAAGCAGCATGCTTGATTTCGGCTATAATGAATGTTCAGTAAAAGCTTGGGCACAAGGAAGAGTCATATGATGGAATTTGCCATATTGGTAATGTAACCAGGCATTGAAGAGTTTCATTTTAAAGTGTACTTTGGTCAAGTCAAAAAAATGCAAATGTTTTTTTTTT